TTAATCTGTTTGAAAGGTAAAATTAAGTATAGGATAGTCGAAAATTCAGACCACTTCGTATTCGGAAATATTCTGTCCGGGATATTCATATTCTGGAATTTTGTCCGGTTCCAGACCTCGTATACTAACTGTTCAACTTACCCATTTTCAACCCAGAATCTGCAGAATATTTTTTATTTAGGCTACTCTATGGAATCAATAATGAAATCTTAATTTCCAAATTATACAAAGAGTGGTCACTTATATTGAATAGTTTTTTGTTTAAAAGAATATTTCTAGTTATTTCGGAAAATAAACATATGTTACAGAACAGCGAACAAATAATAAATTCATATTTGATAATGAAAATTGGTTTCACCCCGTAGGTCAAAAATACGGTTGAAATCTATGTCAGTAATATATAAACGAAGCTGATAAACTGTCGACTCAAAACATAGAAAATCATGTATATATAGTGGAATAATTTCAATTACAAAATATATCTGTCTAAATGATTTATTATTGCACGTTTTTAAGGTTGAACCATAAGAATGATTCTTCAGACGCTAGTCATTTGAAAATCATATCAACAAGTTCAGAATTTTTTTTTTTTGAATTTCAGGATTTGAATCATTTAGATTTTCGTTCATTTTTAAAACACTGAATATGGCGACGTAGAAATTTTTACACTGGAATGAAGTGTAGAGCGTATATTGGCGTCACCTATGTCCGTAAGTCCGATAGTCCGTCCACAATTGGTCGAAAACATCCTGAAGGCACAATTCTCGGCGGATTCTAAATTTTCACCGAAGGATGAACCCTATTACAAAACAGAAATTTCGAAAATTATTTAATTTTAATTATTGCTCTTGTTTTGAAAACGCGTTCAATGTTTAGCTTGTAAACACTCTAGAATTCGCAAAATATTTTTTACTGGTGATTGTTACTGTGCCGCCAATCATTTTTTACTCAAATCAAAGCTACCAGTATATTTTTTCGTGTTAAGCTATCTTTTATTCACTTCAAGTTGTAAATTGGTAAATTTGATATTATTCGGTTCATCAAAGTTTTCTACAGCATAGACTAACTCACACTGTACACGACACCGAATACTATGGCCCTTGTACAGGATCTGGTAAAAAGGCCACCTAGGAGGATTCGTTTATCCGTTCTTAATTTTCTACTATATCGATAGAACAATTTGGGGATGACAGCTGGATATCACTAAGTAGCTGTTATAATGTTATAATGAAACTTAATTACAGGTGTTAAATGTAAAGATGGTTATTACAGTAGGCCTACTGATACAACCTGTAGAGAATGTAATTGTAATGGTGAGAAATGTAATAGTCAAACTGGAGATTGTGGTGGGTGTAGTGAAAATTGTATAGACCAGAAATGCGACGAATTAGATAGATGTACTATAGGATGTAAAGAGGGGTTTTATGGAGAATTTTGTCAACAACCCTGTAATAGTAATTGTAATGGTAATAAATGTGATGGTAATGGTTATTGTAATGATGGTTGTATTCCTGGTTTTCATGGTGAAATGTGTGATCGAAGATGTCCAGTAAACTGTAGAGATAGTAAATGTTATATCAATGGAACATGTATAGGGTATAATACAGGATACTATGGTGATATATGTGGTAAATCTTGTAAAGGATGTATCAATGATCAATGTGATACCAGTAATGGTGACTGTATTTATGATGGTTGTAAAGAAGGATACTGGGGAGATGATAAAAGATGTAATACACCTTGTTCTACTACATGTTTAAAAAGTAAATGTAATAATAATAATGGTGATTGTAATGAAGGATGTGTGACAGGGTATTATAGCTCTAATTGTAATAGTAGATGTAATGGAAGATGTCGAAATGGATGTAATCAAGATAAAGGACATTGTACAAGTTGTGTAGAAAGACAGTATGGTAAGAAATGTGGTAAATCCTGTTGTTTTAGAGGATGTGACCAAACTAGTGGTATTTGTAATCACTGTATGGTAGGATATTATGGTGATTACTGTAATATTACATGTAGTGAAGGCTGTACAACAAGAGAATGTAATCAAGATGGAAGCTGTACATGTAATAATATGTATCATGGTGCACGGTGTACAGATAGATGTAGTAGTAACTGTTTAGATGGAAGATGTGATGTTTCACAATCTGGACTAACTTGTACCACTGGTTGTATAGATGGTTATAAAGGTAATTACTGTCAGGATACCTGTCTATATAACTGTATTAGTTGTAATAATAATCAATGTACAAGTTGTAAGACAGGATGGTATGGTAATCAATGTCAAACTAAGTGTAATAGTAATTGTATCAATAAATGTAATCAAGATACAGGAAGATGTGATGAATGTAAAGTAGGAACATTTGGTGATACATGTAGTAAAGTTTGTAGTACTGGATGTGTATCAAATGGTAATGATAAATATTGAGGTAGAGATGGACAATGTACATTAGGTTGTATTGAGGGTAAATATGGTAGTCAATGTAATATGATCTGTAATAGTAATTGTAATGGTGGATGTGATAAACAGAATGGTAGATGTATCAACTGTAAAACTGGATATTATGGAGAATCATGTGATGATCATTGTAACCAGAATTGTAACCAGTGTAGACGATCTGATGGATTTTGTGAATCGTGTATTGAAGGTTACTATGGTAACAATTGTAATCAAATCTGCAGTAAAAATTGTAAATGTAATAAGATTTCTGGTAAATGTAATAAGATTTCTGGTAAATGTAATAAATGTTTAAATGGTTTCTATGGTGATAACTGTAATAAGAACTGTAGTAAGAATTGTAATGGTGGTTGCAATCAGTCATGGGGAATATGTACTGACTGTGTTCTGGGGTTTTATGGTAGCCGATGTGAAGACCAATGTAATCTGAACTGTGAAGGAGGATGTTTTATGTATAATGGTAACTGTAAACAGTGTAAGACAGGATATTATAGTAATACATGCGATAAAAACTGTAGTATAAATTGTGAAGGTGGTTGTAGTCAAAGTACTGGTGACTGTAAGAATTGTATTGATGGTTTCTATGGTAAACAATGCCACTGGAATTGTTCTAAAGGCTGTCTGAATTCTGTATGTTCAAGAGATGGTAGTAGATGTTCAGATGGGTGTGTTGAAGGAAAGAGAGGTAAAACATGTTCAGTTGATTGTAAACAAAACTGTAGATCATGTGATCAGTTTAGTTATTATACATGTAAAGAATGTAACGACGGTTGGTATGAATCAGATTGTAATAAAAGATGTCCTTTAAACTGTATCAAATGTAATCAACAAACTGGTGATTGTTTAGGATGCAAAAGTGGTAAACATGGCGATTTATGTCAAAATAACTGTAGCTATAACTGTAAACAACCAGAGAGTGGTAATGATACTGATATTTGTGAACAGAAAACAGGAAGATGTACTGAAGGATGTCAGGCTGGATATCAAGGAAATAACTGTACTGAAGGTACGAAAAATGTGTTTATTTCATATGAAATCACGCATATCCAAGGATTATAGCAAAGAACTATGAAACATGTATAGGGTGTAATAAGGCCCGGAAGGCCCTGTAAACCCGTATGCAAGTAATCGTATAATAAAACATGGTTCTCAAAACGTACAACTTTCATTGACATAGCTTTCTGGAAAGTTAAATTGAAGGGTCCAAAAGAGAAGGTGTCCTTTATTGATTTTGAATTAACAATCAAACTTCGATCATGCATGGAATATGTCGTAGTAGACTATTAGTCCCATTTAGCATCATAAATTAAATGCATATCTTTGAAAGTTCCTTTTTGAACAGTTAGCTGAATACATTCAAGTATGTTTTGTATAATAAATGTAATATACATTTGTTATATAGTTAATAACTGAATTGAATATCACATTGTTTATTTGCATGGCTGTTGAAAAAATCAGTCACATTATTTTCAACTAGTCGAAATTGCAATTATTCAACTAGTTGCAAAAGTCAGTCACAATCTACTGGAGTCATTCACAATTTCATTTGTGACTGACTTCGGGGTCTTGGTGTAATACAGTATACTAAGGTGATATATTTTGAGGTAAATTTTTGTAAAGGATGTATCAATGATCAATGTGATACTAGTAATGGTGAATGTATTTATGATGATGTTGATGTTAATGACGCTGTCCGGACAAAAACTCATCACCTGTCTACATTTTCCCAAACAGGCGCAGTAAATGAAACATTTCGTTCTATTTCTGATTTTTTTAGTTTTAGAATCCACATCGCCTTTCCAGACTAAAGAGAAAGTATACTTCATAACAACTATTGGTATATTGAGTTGTATTAATATAATATTGATAGCAGGTATACTAATATTTTTCATAAACAGACAAAGGTATTTTTTGTTTTAATTGTTTTTATTTGAAAGTCACTTATGCCAGTTTATACCAGACATCTTGTTGAGGAACGCTTTATCTCCCTCATAGAGCATGATACTAAAAAACCTGTTCGGCTTCGCTTGTAAAGCCTGATTTAGAGAAATTAAACAGATCTCGTTATAAACCTGCCAACCAAGTAAATATTACCTACACTTTAAAACTTGTCAAAAACGTAACATATGAATAACATGAAAATTCCTTTGTTGATCATTATTTAGTCACAAATAGGCACAAAGAAGACAAAAGTGGGAAGAAGAAAGACCCCTTTGTGGTCTGGGTTTCTCAATAAGCCAAATATAACCTGTTTATATCTTTCATATATTTAGACAACGTATGTCGCTGTATTTATTACAGAAAATCCACTCTTAAGAAGACTGTAAATATTGAAACCACTGGTCAAGAATCATCTTACATTAATCAAGATTATAATCCAGAGGAAGCTAATGTGTATTATGAGATACTGGATAACAGAGCACCACAACCGGAGTATGAAGCATTGCACTCAGATGAAATGAATGTACAACCCATGACCGATGAAAGTAACATTTAGCTTACTCTTAGCTATTACCATAATTTTAATTAATTATATTGCGGGCCATGTTTGTAAACTGACCGAATAAACCAAACAAAACAGTATTCTGAACTTGTTATCCGAAGTAGCTAAAATTACTCATTCCCTATCTTGCTTTTTGATATTGTTATGCTAATGTCATTATATATTTATGTACCGGTATATTTTTTATGTATGTAATAATGCTATTATTTATAATATTTTGCTTCTTGTATAAATGTGTAGCTAGCTAATAGCTATGTATTTTTTTATATTCCATTTTGAACAAAATTTTAGTTGAATTATTTCCATATTTACAAGAGTGAACAACATGTAAAGTTGCATGTGGTGCTCTGCCAATGAAACAGGTAGTTAAAGGTCAGGTTTTAAAATAGTTATTTTGAGTTATGCGAATTTAATTGCATCCTTTATTTATCATTTATGTAGTTGAAATTAACATAATAAAAGCTTCAAGTGCTTATCATAAATATTTTTTTTATATTTGATTTAACTATTTTCTGGATAGATAAGCTTTTATAAGAGTATATCACTGTTAGAATAGTACTCGATGAATACGATGAGCTTCATTTAGTTATTTATCCATTATTTTATTTTATTTTTTATACGTGTTTATTAGTGTATAGATATTAGCTGTATGTATTTTTTTTTTATATAAAACTGAGAGTAATAACCTGATTCAAGTTTTCTTTTATTTCTACATAGCTCTACAATTGATGTATTGGGCACTATTTAACAGTTAAAATATTTTATTATTGTATTTATTTATTGGGCAAATTAAAACAAATAGAATAGTTATACTATTCATGCATATTCAGTAGTCTAGGTCTAGTCACGTGTATCGACAGGTTATCATCATGTCAAATACAATATTAACATTGTGCCTAGACTGAACGTAGCCTACACGACTACACATTTCGATTGAGGAATCTTACAGAAAAAATATACGGATTTATTTAAAGTTAAGTGAGTAATGGCAGCATTTCTTATATTCAAATCTTTATTATATAACCTTTCATGTTTCAAATGTCTTATTCTGTTACAGTAACTTACGAATTGATATTAAGTATGTAATTGTCTTTTATATTATTATTTATTTATGTAGAGATAACCTTAAGCTTAAGTTCATATATTATAATTCTTATGTTTTAATTAAAAAAAATTAATTATTTTTATTAGTTTTATTTATATATCAAACAACAAAAGAAAATCACGAGGTATTAATTATATAATTAATGTATCCACAATATTTGAAAAATTAACCTTTGGTATAAAGATGTAAACATGTTTCATATTTTTTAGTCCAATAATAGCAAAATGATACTATTATTTGAAGTATTTTAAATGATAGTAATAAATCTGGATGCAGTTATCCATTTCTTCAATGTTTCAACACAACCGTACCGAGAAAGTTCAGGCTGTGACATCCAAGTCGCTTTTAACGAGGAACGATTTTTCTTTAAATTTAGATCTATAAGACGACATTTCCATTAAGCATATCATTACGAGATTGTCGAGTTCAAAAGTCAAAATTGTGGAATTCGTGAGGTTAAAAAGTTGAATTCTTAAAGGCTATAACAAGGGTTTCGTTTTTAAAGAAAAGTCTACTCCTTGACACGGTCAATGAGTGAAAAACCAATGCAAAATTCAGCATGACTGCTAAAGCAAAAATAAAAGATGGATGGTTTCTATATTAGCTCTTTCTACACATTTATTTTTTCACCTGTTACATTATTTTTATTCACAACAATACAACATTTTCTGAACATCACATTCACAAAAATATATATCATAAAATTAAATAAATAATTTCTTCTGATTACCACAATTATTTTTTGTAACAGTGAATGTTCAATTTCATATTTTACTGTCGATGCAATTTCTAAGACAACGCCGATAGTCGTTCGGTTGTCTTCATTGCATTCTATTTTTTTTTATACATACACCGCACATAATATACCATCATTCATTTAAAAATTACTTTCGAGATGCCGACATTGTTTTAGTTGCTAAAATGACATCAACTTGTTCTGGTTGAATATTTTAAGATAGTGGACGATGCATCTGTTTATCAGATGGTAGTAAAACTTTGAGCTGACTTATTTCTGTCTCATCTGATCCTAAAGCCCTTAGACCATTGTTGCTGGTTCGACTGAAAATATAAAAAAATACTTTGTCAATCTCGATATTCTTCTCAAACCTGTCACTAAACTTAAGTTTGTGGGCTTTCTTAACGAAATTTGAACCCAGATTGATGTTAATGTTAGGGCCATCGATTAGTGGCCGATCATTAGATTGATTTTAAATTACAAAACGAATAGGTTATCGTATTTATTAATTTAGTTTAGTAATCCAGTTTTTCAATCCAGGCATAGGTCGAGAAATATCTTCAGACTTTTCAAACCGGTTTCTTGTCAGTGATGTAGGTCGAAAGGACTGACACAAAAAAGTGTTAAGAGATAGGCTGTCACGCTAGCTGTCACGTCTCTCCACAGTTTAAATTGAAAAAAGAGTAGCCTGATGCTGCTGAAAAATTTCCTTCATTGTATACTACATGCGTAACCCGTAATCATCATAACAATTACGTTATAAGTACGTTTGTTAATAATTAATAACAATAATTCTAAACAAGGCAAAGCCTAATGACATCCTGACAAAATAATATCAGACAAATTCCTTCAAATCTGACATCAACAGCTTGGAGTGTCTTCAGACCATAGCGATCACCAGTTTCATAACTTTCAAACGCAATAATACACAATTGGTGTTTTACGCTACCTATGGTTTTTCGAAGAACCATTACGTATGTTCTTATATGGAGTGAGGGAAACTTTGAAGGCTGTATCAGACAGAGTCATTACAGCAAACAAATAATATCTATAACATTATAAGCATATTTCAGCGTCTATGAAATTAGTTTGTTTAGTTCGCCATGCAGCATATTTAAGATTCTATTTGAAGAAAAGAAATGAAAACGAAAATTCAACAAATTTTACCCTAAAAAATTATCATTGATGTTGACAAGCGCGTCATGCTTTTTTTTCCTTTTATGAACTATCTGGTTTTAATGTTACCCGATTGGATATTTTGTTTGCAACGTGTTATTGTTATTTCTGCGCCACCAGTTATAATCCCTATTTTCCGAAAGAATCCAAAACGTTGTATTACAAGACGACTGTAAATAAAGTCTGTAGTACACTATATGGCTAAAGTTAAGCGATATCATCTGAAGCTTTACTGTTTGAAAGTTACTTGTACATAAACGGTAATTTTAATGTTAAATGCTTTGCTTTTAAGTCACAAAATTTGGAAAAAAATCACGTGATTAACGACCACTTTTTTAATGGTTATTAGGATATAAAGTTACTAATTTGTTCTCATCTTGTACGGAACACATCGTCATTTCATCCATGGTGATGAACGATACAAATTGCTTCTGCTCGATTGTTTTATTCTACCCATTGCATATTAAGTGGCGTTTCTATAAAGCATTAGGTGGAGTGACCGAGAGGGGGGATTGCCAAGGTCAGCCTTCCTCTAGAAACTCCACTGCGTGAAGGCTAACGATACATGCAGTCTTGTTATGACTAAACTTTCATTCATCAATTTAAAGATGGTCACATGGACATGTATGGACACCAAAAGACTAATCATCTCTACAATTATCACGTCAAACAAGCGGTTTTGTTTCCCCGTTATATATATAGGACAGATTCTCCGCCTCTCAGATCAATTGTACATTAGTCTCAGAAACCGGTTTATTTTTGTCTAAGCTAACTAGTGTACAGCTCACAATCAAAATTTGATACTTCAGATCCATGTATGTCCACAATCATCTTCGTTTGGAAATTAAAATGGCGACTGGTCTTTTCTTGAGAGTCCACCATAAATACAAGAATCATATAGAAATAGTCAGATAAAACCCTGCAATCTACGACCCTGGATTGACAAGTCATACAGATGCTGTCACACTGAGAAATATATTGAAAAGGATTGTCACAACAATTAACGACACAATGGTGACTATGTTCACAGTAGCGCATTATATATCAGATTGGACACGTTTATAAATAAGACTTTATGCATGGAATGCATTACGTAAACAAAATGCAAACGTATATGCATTACACATTAATTACCTATGTATGGTTAGCTAAGTCACCATGTTAAGTTGAAATGAAAGAATAAAATGAGGTAAAGAGTAAAAATAAACCATTGTAAAGGTAACGTGCTTTTGAGATCTGTATTGTCATAAAATAATAATCATAACTAAAAGTGAACCAGGCAGTGTTTTAAGTGATTTTTGTCAAGGAAGAAAACAGTTGAGGATAGCATGACAATTAGCAAACTCACAGTTTTGATGCAGATCCCTTCGTATTATGATGAAACAAGTCAAATTGTTCTGGAAGGACAAATAACATATTATGTTAATTTATAATAATAATAAAGCATGAATTAGTTACCTTTTTGAATTCATATGGTCGGTTTCATCTGTAAAATATAAATGAATGTCTTTAAGTAAATAGGACCAAATGTATCAAATATGTGGATGTATCAATAGTGTAAAAAGAACGTCAAAGAGGCAGATTTGTATCTTGTCATCTTTTATTTCAGAGACAATAATGGATCCGGAATGAAGATGGTTCACATGTTCTAACATATTCATAAACAGGGTTGCTTTTTCGGATTCGTTCTTCGTTCTTCGTTCTGTTAGTACAAGTAGGAAAAAGAACACCAAAATACAACAAAATACAACCATACAACATGCAAAGAAGCTTAGAATCCTTTTTCCTCTGTGTTAAATTCGAATTTCACTCAATTCCGAGAAGTTCTTAAAGCCACAAAGCAGGAAGAGGATAAATACTTGCATGTTTTGAATCAAGCATCTGATCTCATCTCATTGCACATTGTTAAAGATAATGTATCTATGTTCAACATTTGATTATCAGAAAAAATTGCTACATCTTCTATTGCTACCGAGCTGTCTACCTGTCTACACATGTTTAGTAGTTTTGCTATTTGATCCCACCAATTATTACCGTGTTACTCACAGTTCGATTACGCCAACGAATGGAACTTTACGTAAGTAATGATAACGCCTGAATCTTCCTTTTCGTAGTCCATCGGTTCCATAGCTTCTTGGCTGATTTGATTAATCAGAACACTTGTATATTTCAAACAAGTTATATCATGGTCTGTAAAACAGAAAAAATTGTACTTACGACTAGATGTTTCTCCAGTCCGTCTTCTTATACAGCAGAAACATGCTGTTCTGAATTCTTTTCTAAATTTTCCTGTAAAAGTAAAGCAACAATAAAAATTCTTATGCATTCTTAAACAAAATTGAAATGATTAACTTCCAGAAACAGTGCTACATTGAACAAGATTACGCTCAAGCCATCTAAATGCTTAATATTCATCTGAAGTCCGTTGGCTTCTGGGGGCTGCTAGATCTCTCTTCTAAATACGCCCTTCTGTGTAATTATTTAAAACTTACCGCTCATAAAGTTATATATAACTGGATTAATGGAACTATTGATATAAATAAGAAGATGAACTGTATAACCAATAGCTGAAGATGTTTTAGATGTTTGGTGAACAATTGGATGTCTGAACAATCTGAAATAATTTTAATTCATCTCAGGTTTATACTTACATGACCTAATCATAAACTAAACCACTACAGGGCCTTATCCTTAAAACTTGAGAATTCAGCACAGATTCTAGAATTCACTTTACACGATTTTTTATTTTTCAACGGCTCTTTGAGCTTTATTTGTTGTGGTCAAATCAACTCCATAATATGAATAATATCCTAAGTCCTATAACGTCACTGGCAGTTTATTTACAAATAAGAAATAGAAAAGAAACAAACAAACAAACAAACAACTATATCTTACAAGGATAACAAGGTTCACAGTTAAGGATCCTTTTTACCAGCTGATCCTTGGTCAAATATAATTTGACTTAGCATGTGTTTTACATGATGACCAATTATATCCCATCGTGTTAATATGTACAATTTAAGCCTTCAGTATAAAATGAGTAATTGCTATTCGCTGAGACACAGTCAGCGTTCAAAGAGGTAATCAAAAAATGTTTTTTAAAGGTTTTAACTTTTCTTGCCTATATGTATCGATGACACTTGTATGAGCTGAATGTTAGACATGACCATGTCCTTGTGTATTGGGCATAATTCTGATCCATGTAAAATAAAGAGTTTATTATTGTTATTACAGTCTCGATTTTCAACCAAAGGTTTGTGGTTTCATTGAAAGATAAAATCTGACACGCTTGTAACGCCACATTTGACTTGATTGTTATTTGCGATTTCGACGCAAAAATCTAACCAATTTGATTTTTTTTTAAATTACAGAAACGACAGACGTCGGACGTTTACTCTATAAAGAGCGTTGACAGATGTTGACTACAGACACCAATGTTAATAAAACTGTTCTTAACATTTTAGAACGCATATTACTCAATAAAAATAAAAGAGTAGAAGAAGATTACATTACATAAACAACTCTTAACAAACTCTTTGAAGAAACCGAACAAATTTCCGGTTTGGTAGGAATTCCAATATTTTAGGAAGAGTTGAGGAAATTACAAAAGGTAAACTTCTGTTTGAACCTCTTTGATGATATTCTCGTTCAAGAATAAAATCATAATTATGGAATTTACCATACTAATTTACATATATCATATTCCACCTGTTTATAATAAACCTAACTAGCTTAATTATTTAAGTGCCTTCTTTAGGAAGAAAAGTTAATTGTTTATAGTATTTTTGTAAGAGTTTTGTTTTTATAGACGGTAACATTAATTAAAGACAAGTGGATTTCCTCAGGTTCTAAAGACTATATTCAAATATTTTATGCTAGCATAGTGTTTCTATAAGACATCCTGCACATTGATCAAAGAAAGTTTGTGTTAATTTCTTCAAAATTATTTCATTGTTTACTTAACATTATGGATTTTGGCAACACGCTTTTCTCCAACTGATAGAATAAGTGAAAGTTGACATCCCTTTTCCATGACTGTCCACTCTTGTCATACATTTTGTGGTATTTATAGGACGTTTGGTAGTACAGAGATGGCTTTTAGTACTTTCAGATATAACCTATTATGTATGTGAAGTTACTATTCAGTAAAATGTAGTACAACTACCTAATAAAGTACCATTAACGGTCTGAAACTGGTGTCAATCATGTTAAATAACTATGGTACGTGTTCGGTATGAAATAATGACAGAAACTCTGCTAAGCACCAATCAATTCCTTTAAAAAGTGTGTCAATGAGTGGAGTAGATTTGAATAACTAACAATAAATCGAATTTAAATGTAAATTTAATGTAGCGAATTGAATGCTAACAGTAGCATGATTACTTCTCCTTTGGGGAAATATAAAGGAAAAATTCCATTTTAAGGCTAAAACCAGAAATACATTTGTAAAGGGATAGAAATACCATCCTGCTGAAATATCGAGTTGAAAAATCCAGCTGCATAACGACAGCAAGTGGTCAAGAGTCTAATTCAAAGGGAAATTGCTATCATACCACGAACAATATTTGTTATGCTGTTAAGATTTAAGCTGTAATATTGTAATACATGTGACAAATGTAATATACATGTATACCTAATCAGGCGATTAGGTAACTAGAATTGTTAAAGAGACAGGTTGGCCATTCTATTTGACCAATCATACTTTAGTCTCAGAAACGGGAATATTTTAGCTAAGCCAATCAGTAATAGTGTACACAGCTCCCCGCTGTAATTTGAGCCTTCAAATCCATGTGTGTCGAGAATTATCTACGTTTGAATGTTAAAATGATGACTCGTCATTTTAAGATACTCTGTTATATACAGAAAAGAAATAGTGAGTAAAATTCCTAGTTTGAGATATTTTTGAAGGAATTATATGATTTTCGTGCACGTTCAATACTTGAGAAGACTATTTTCAAGACTCGAACCAACCCCAAAAAATGTCCCTTTAAAAAAATAACAAAAATTGTCCAAAACTGTCTTACAGTTAAACCATAGCAGCTAATATTTAGTCTGGTATGCACCCAGTACCCGTCCTCTAGGTTGCTAGAGACTAAATAACCATTTTAGGAGAATGAATAGTCTTTACTTAGCTCAAGACAATATAATATTCTCACCTTAAAATATTCCAAATGTACACTGGGAGAAAACAAAGTATGAATACAATAACAACAACTATTAACATCTTAGCCACTCGTCTTCTGGCTTTGAGCTGGGAAGTAACTTTATCATGTAGACTCTCTGAAATAATTATATAACACATCATCAAATTTGAAAAGAAAATAGAATATCCAATTTATAATGAAAAAAGGTGGGCGTGGTTGTATATATGGAAATTCGTTTATCAATCATTGAAAACAAATTCAAATTGGATACAACTGAAAACAATACTGTTCATGCAAGAATACTTGATTATTTTGATAAAAATATAAATTTTTTAAAATTTGCACTTTAGGCCGATATTGCAATTCTCATAAAATTAATCTAGTTTCGATTTACCGACGATGGTGCGAAGACATTTTATTTGATCCGAACTACACACTGCTCATACCGCTTTTTCTACAAGAGATTTTAATAGGGCTTTTCATCAACACGACAAAGCGTCAAACGATCACCAACCATGATAGATGAGTTAATTAATTTCAAATTGTCCATACTGATTTTATTTTGTCTGTGAGGTTTTAATGAAGAACAAATGTTCTATAATGTTCCAACTCACAATACAAGAAACAACTAGTAGTACACAATCTAATTCCACGTTTAACTCGCTTGTTGATACATAACATGTATATTATGTAGGCTTTGCTTCTCTCCATTTTCACAATTTCTGACAAACATTAATCATATGAAGGGTCAATCTTTTTCAGAAATATTAATATATACCTACACCTAGACAATGTACGTAATTTAGTACTATATAGTAATATTTCCATCATATGAATCTTAACTCATGGAAATATGAACATAAAGTCTACCTATATACAGCAAATCTGAACGACAGGAACGGCAAAGTATTTAACCATTTGAAACGAAAAGCATAATTGATCCCCATCGTGTACAAACCACGCCCCCATTAGACATACTTCCCCGAGGCCGTGGTAATACAAGTGAGAGAAATTACGTATTCATAGCTAAATATTGTCCAATCGAAATGGCCCCTGCTGTCTTGCTAGTAAAATCCCAGCCAATCAAATCAAACCAGTCGTTATGACGCTTTGTTTGCGAATATAAACAAAACGAAAGCAGCGTTCTATCATTTCCGTTCTATCTGATTGGTCAGATTCAAAAAGCATCAATTTCCTTTCCACGCCCACAAAGCGAAGTGTAGTGGGCTTAGTTTAACGCGGGTTGATAAGATCATGTCAAAGCCCGTATTCGTGATACGATGAATTGTCAGGTATTTTTCTACCAGGGGTTTATTATTTTTTGACAATTTTTGGGGGCAATGAAGCGCTTTTCTAGAATAAGATTGAAGTCGTTCTATCCAGTCAGGTTATATTCTCCAACATGGAAACAAATATTGCAAGGTAAATCTAAGAGAGAATAACGAAATACATGATCTTTGAATGGCATTTAGTAAGGGTGTTGGATATAATGAAAAGCATTGCTTGATAAAGACCAGAGGACACTGGTCGAAACGTTGCTCAAATAAAGTTAGTAATTGTAATCCATAAGAATTTTTTCATTATGACGAAATACATGGTAGTAAGGATTTATAGTGGGAAGGGGGTAATGCCATTGATTAAGGATCCTAAAAGGAGAATAGAAAGAAAAAGGTTGAAAAGCCCTGCTGTATGTACATGGAAAGAATTTATTGATTGTCTGTAAAGTTTATCACAGAGTAAGGTTCTTTTAAAGTAGATAAAGATTAGACAACAGTGCGAACGGTGCCTAAACTAAAATAGACATGCCTGCAGTAACTGTAATTAATTAATATGGAAGATAATAACACGAATCAACTGTAGCGTAATCATATCTTATGGTCCCAAAGGAAATTCATTTAAGTTACAAATCGAATTCGTATAGAATATGATCGGATCCGGAAATTAGACTTCCAAAGTTAGTAAGTAGTTTCACTTATGCAGTCTATAACTTGTGGAATTAGTGATACATTTTATTAGAAACTCGTTGAGGCTGAAATGCATTAATGTAATATTTGATGTAAACTCTTCTAGTTAGAGACTCGACATTAAGGACACGGACTTTAAGGTATCAGTAAAGCGTATTACCTGTTAAAGTTTTGCCGGTTTTGACACTGGACCACAAACAAATAGCAATAGATAGATATGTATATCCCATGACGATAATTGGTAATAAATAAAAGAGAACCAAGCACACTAATTCATTGATATACGCCACCCGAGGATATCCCTCTGGTGTACATGATGTCAATAATACAGTAAGATTAACAGGAATCATCTGATCTGGAGTAGCAGTAAATATTATCAAACGAGGAAGTGATGCCAGATGCCCCACTAACCAGATCACACCTATTGTAATAATGACGTGCTTCCTCTTTTCTTTAAATGACATTGGTCTGCAGATAGCGAACCACCTTTCTACTGAGATAGCTGTTAAGGTAAAGACCGAAACAATGACTGAAACACTCTGAAAAATAAAAAGAACGACATTATTATTCATACAGAATTTAAACGTTATAGCCAAAATGTCAAGTGAGTTTCTAGGGTTTTTGCAAAATAAGCCCTATATTAAGGGCTGATGCATCGATAAACAATTCTCACCGGGACAGCTAGTTTCATGAACAAGGGTTAACTAGACTTTAGGGGTATAATCAACGTAAGAGAGAAGCCGTCAGCCAACAATTGTAGAGATAATTGTCATTTTTACAGTTTGGACCAAAAGATTTTTATACTCGTCTCCATTATATAAAATCTTTATCCTGGCCGATTATTTCATTGATCATAAGCTGCTATTAGAATAAAGTGGAAATCTTTCTGCATGGTAATGGCAGATGATGATAACCTTGAAACATGTTACAGCTTAAAGACAACTGGTATGAACGCTATTTGATCATTGGGTATCTGGAAATGTTTCCATGCCACTGAACAATTTTATTGTCTGATTGTATCTTCTGTCATAAACTAAACTTATACATAATACAAGATAGATATCGACGTTAAGAATATAATTTTTAAACCTGATAAATATACTTATACTTGTAATACTGTCATTAATTGTTGTCCTTTTTGGTTTTTCTTTAGAGATAATATGTCTTTAAAACATTAAAAAACTTCTATGAATTAAATCATACCCCCTACCTGATAAAATTCAACTATTTTACACATAACATCTCCAAGAAACCACGTTTCCCAAAACGTTTGAGCAAAGGTTGGTGGTAAGCACAGAATTAACACAAGTAAATCCGCCACAGCCAAATTCACAAGAAATAAATTAGTCGTTGTCCGAAGATGAACATTTCTCCATACAGCAAAACAAACCAGAGAATTTCCAGTTACTCCAAAGATAAAAACGAGAATGAAAATAACGCAATAGATCCACTCGTGGGTATGTGGTTTTAAAAATGCATATATCTGTTCAAGAAGATGCTCATCTGAGTAATAACATTGGTCACCTTCTTTATATTTACAATATGGTGTCGTTCCTGTGATATTATCAAACATTGTAGAAGAGGAGTTATTCAGCATTGTTGCTGATCTGACCTGAAACATATACAAATACAAATACGTCACTTTTACATTTTGGTCAACACCAATAATATTAACACTGCAGTCGACGTCTTTGTGCAAGTTATCACTAAATCCAGCAAGTATACCGCTCCTTTGTATCATTCACATTATAACTTTCGTGTACTTTTGTCCATCTCTCTATATAATATATGTTTACTTGCACTAAGTATGTTTTCTATATAGTATAGTATTGTTAGAGTTTTTTTTTTCATCACAGTTCAAATAACATGGTGTCGTATTATTAGTGAACTTATTGACTAGCTCATTTTGATCCTTGAATATAATCGATCACTTGTACCCCTTTTACACTTATTTAAATTTGAGCGGCCAGCCAAAATTAATTAGTTACTTCAATACTTACAAATGTTAATGGGTCTTAGCGTGCCTGATTTTGACTCTTTGTGAACCTTTTCTACACTTTTTCGCTAAAGAGCGTATACGCTCTTCGGTTTAAAGCCGCCAAACACGGTTTCGCTTTATCGAGACGGAGTATATAAGGGATAATCGACATATGTCTTTTTTATACATGCAGAAATAAAAGGTTTCAGTGTCTTATAAGGTTATAAAACTAATTTTGGTGTTGAATAAAATCATACAATCGTTTCATCGGTAATGTAAACATATATGTATTTACAATAACAGTGTCATGACCTAAATTAATGCATTACGCCAGTGTTTATTTGGAAAGAATAACTCAAGTCAGGCTCATATATAAAACAGTGTCTTTGGTGGTGACTAAATCAAATAGTATAGTTTGACAGCACTGAAATAAGAAATTCTTCAATATAAATCAGTCAGCGTGGGGCTGTCGATTGATAGCATTGACAGATTTATGAAGTGTATCAGGTACTAAAACATGTCTTTGTCATATAAATTGTGAACAACTTAGGTGCTTTGAAAGCAGAGAATATAAATATAACCTTTCTATGGGTTCATTCCAAATGATCCGTCTGCGTGTTGTTATCAGTAGACGACAGAAAAAGTCTCATTAGAGATGATTATGATCTTAGAGAAATGTTATAGTATCAATGAATGTTGATCCTACAAGATCAACCGATCATCACCTTATCGCATTTAGTCTCCTTATCAGCCACTACGCTAGTCACCTTTCCGACACGAATACTGTTAACAACATTCTTCATGTAAAGGACATTCATATACATGTACTGAACAAATATTCGTTTAAAGGTATACTCTCAGATACTAGCTGTCTTGTTTATATCTCTTTATACATATCACCATCAAATGGTATATGCTTCTCTTAAAGACAATTTCCAGCGAAATGACAGATCTGATCAAACGATAATGGTATGTCATGTACTTTGTGTAATTCAACAGCTCAGAACTATTGTATCCGGAATGCATTTATCGAAATGAACATCTTTAATGAATAGAAAATGTTGAACTTCGCAGAACCTCACAGAACAAGAATAATATATAGTGTGTCAGTGAAGGAGTCCTTTGATGAAATTTATAACAAGATCTGATCGGTATTTCCAAAGAAAACTTTGCAACATGGCTCTTCTTTATTATACTCAGAAAGGAAGTTAAATGAATTAACGTCAGTGTAAACAAACCTAATTTCTTCAGAACATGCCTGATTTTGACCCTGATCAGTCTGACCTGTGGAAACATCTATAAAACAAGAAGGAGCAAAGGAAACTTGTAAATTTTAGCTTTTGTTTGAGCTATTTAAGGCTAACAATAAGTTAAGAAATAAGCGTTGGAAAGAGGTTTGCCGTCTACCTAACTTCGAAGTCGAAATATACGGTTTCATTCGGCTTTTTTCTTGTCTTCCTTTGTCAGCGATGAAGGTCCACCACCATTACTAATCGAACTGTTTATCATGCATACATGTTTAGTTTTGACAAAAGAAATAAATGAATAAATGGACTTTTTGTGTTTATGTGTTTGATATAAGTCCCTAAACTGAAACTGCTCTGAAAAGTTTTACAATATCCACGGTTAGCCTAACGTCAACACTATGACGTAATTCGCAATTTTTGGTTAATTTGATAAAGTATGTTATTTAACAAAGATCTTTCTGTGATTATAAGTAATCTTGTTTTTCATCAACAATCAGACAGTGTGTTATTAGTTATGTCACAATATTTATCCAATTTAATCAAATTAGTTATTTTCTAATATTACGTCTGTCGTTTTGTGTAGGATTGAGTCGAGGTTAATGGATGTTCCATTACGATGCATTCCAGAATTGCCAAGACGACATGGGTCCCTAAATCAGTGAACAACACAATAATGATTAAAAGGAATTTAAACACAATTTCTCAATCAGATAAATATAGACTGGAATCATCTGGTGATTTTCACTAAAAGTTTGAATGCGATTCCAAATATCTCAAGATCGGATCCATCGACGGCCAAAAACTGCAATCAACTGGAAGTCATAGAAGGTTGACTTTCCAGATTTACCATGGAGAGAGATATTATATCAATCAGTCCCTGTTACTCTCAATTTAAAGTTTAGGATTTAATTCTTAGGAAGACCAAATAATTGAATTTTTAATACTTGGCCAAAATGAGTCTTTGTGGATTTATCGAAACTATATGACAGAATCCCCCGTTATCCAATAAATCCATAAAAATAAGTATCCACTATACTAAGTAATTTTCAAACACCCTTATAAGCGTTTACAATAATTACTTAGTTTAAAGGAGATATCGTGTTATATAGACATTCTATTCTTTCGGCATAGCACCTGGTAAGTCCAACTGATGACACTTGTTGACCAAGTTTGAGACTTTGAATTGCATGTCCATTCTCAGAGGTAGTATCACTTTAATTCTGTCACTGAATTTATACATACACCGACAATATCTACGAAACTGCTAAAATAAAGAGTCTTACTGCTATTTAGCCACGAGTTCAAAGCATTTTATTGGTATAACGTATTCATTTCTTTATTGTGCATGAACATAAATAATACGTGCACTAAGCAATAACATTACATGATGACAATGATTCTTTCAATTTGGTCCTCGTTTATTTCTCATTAATTTCTGATCTATACTCTGAAATGTTCATATCAAGCGGTTTTCAAGAGTAATTCCGATGGCCAAACAGCGTTGCGAGTTTTTATTTCCTGTAATTTATTTTTCTAGAATATATTTAAGTATTTAATTTGATAAATATCCTCGAAAACTATTATTATCTTTGTCTGGTGGTTATTCCAATAGATTGTTTCATTTCTTTCCCGGGAAAATTGATATCTAAGTTTTATGTTAGAGGCTAACTTGTAATTAAAGAATTCAAAGTCAATTTTATGTTTACTTGACTGATAGTATAAATCAGCTTTCTTAAAGCTTATCACTGCCGTATGAATTTGGGCTCTACACATCATGAAGTAATTATGAAATCTTATCGAGCAAACCAAACATTGCAAAAAGAAAAACAAACACAAATCAATTAAAATTTCCTGCAAACAAATCATTCGGATTTATACATATTGACGAAATAAATTTTGTAGAATAACAGGGATGACGAATGTGAACAGGAAATTGGTATAGCTCAGTAGGAAGTGATGTCTGTTCATGATGCACATAAAAATAACAGAAACCCCATTTGAACCAATTTTCTACAATTTAAGTTAAGATTTTGAAGTAGACAAAAGTCGATAGTTTGAAAAAGACTTTGAAATCTTCCGGGCTAAATATCAGGAGAGAATGGAATATACCCTAGCCATGTCTACCATTGTCGAGGTGATGTGTTAGTTAAAGCACGTCTTTAGGGACAATGATTAATCTATTTTATATTGTCATATCCGACCTCGTGGAATTAAACCAAAGCAACAAATAGACAACAAATATTACAGGTTCAGTTTTTCATAAATATTTAATATGTAAGTCATTAATTTACAATTTTCAGAGTCGAATCCTATCGAAATTGAGAATACGAGCAAGGAGACATTTTCTTGTCGTGATTAATGTATTAAGAAGCTCTAAGGATGAGATAATATTAAGAATTTTGCACAAACAACCAGAAACGTATTGTGATCTCAAGAACTCCATTCACTAACCTTGTAACAGCAAGTCATTATTTAAAAATATCATCAAGCCTGCGTAATAATGGCACTGGCTTCCTAAAAACCTAATATTATCTTTAATGAAGGATCAAGCACTTTTCCGATTGGGAAAATAACAATATGTGGTGAGTCATAATGTTATAGGTTTGCTAATGTGCACAAGCCTGATGTACCATAAGTAATTAATGTTTTCCTCTTGAAAGCCAAATACCAACAGCTACAGACTTGTCGAGTGCTATAAAACTCATGTAATTGTCTAAAAAAAACATACATATCGAGGGTTCTTATTATTATGCTTTTCGAGCTTGGATGCTGATCGAATAGGCAAATCGCATTCCAATACTTTTCAGTATGCTTATTCAAGCTCCAAATGGTCTTTTGATATATTCCTTCCGCCTTCTTTCAGTTATAGGGTTGATATGTTTCAGAATGCCTCAACGCACAAACATTTCATTCCATACATAGATGTTGAGAGACAGTAGATAAAGAATAAACGTTAAGGATTGTGTATCTTAGTGTATTGTCATAATGATACCTATAATATCAGCGATCACCCTTAAAAACATATTGGCATCTGTGTTTCTTGCGTTATACATCTGAAGATTTTTACTTTCATGTATGCAATTTGAAGAAATTAAACCCATAAGTTTTCCCTGATGATTTCATATCGTAAGGAGAAAAAAATTAAGATGTTACTTTCAGTTTTGTGTTTCTGAAGAGATAACATAATTAATTGATTTTGACATGAATTGAATTATCTCTTGTCGACAATAAATATATATTAGGTATAAAATATAAATACTAAAGAGAAGGCAATGTTTTCTTAACATTAACCCAATGGAAATAAAGTGTGCTTAAAGCCGCTAGAGATCAGTTTCTCATGGTAATACA